TCTTTGTTGAATTTGGTCAAGCTGAAATCGATTGTGCAGTCCCTATGATTGCTTTTGGATTGTTTTAATGGTAAAAATGGTATTTGCAGCTGCATGCAAGAGTTGATAGTTCTATGGATTGCGGAGTAGCACTTTTTTGGTACTTGCTTTGAGGTGATTTTAATTATTTCTTTGATCATGGTATCATATGAGTTTAAGAGGATGTTGAAAGTTTTGGAAGTAGCAATGTTGTATTTGGTTTCTATAGAAGTTAACCCTGCTGCAAAAAGAAGGTTGCTTATTGGAGATGTGCGTAACGCGCCGAGTGATATGCGTATTGCTGAGTTCAAAATGGTTTTCAGTTTACTTATAAGTGTATTGGCTACGCTACCATATAAAAATAGTCCGTAGTCTATTTTGGAGAGAATAATTGCTTTGAGAACTTTTATTATAGTTTGAGTTTGGCAGTTCATTTTTTGATTAGAAAGGCATTTAATTACATTCAGGCCCCCCCGGCCCCCCTTCCTCGTCTCCCGCCGTGCTGTATCGCAGGTAGATTTATTTTTTGTATACGTTGAAATACATTTTTTTATATATTTTAAACATCGAGGGCTTATATTCAATAATACCCGCTATCTGCACACTTTTCACAAAGATGAGATTCTGATATAAAAATCCACCTAAGCTTTAACTGTCATCAGTGATATTAATGCTACCTTATATAACGACAGGTAATAAGTCCCAGATGGTTTCTAAAATCACAAATTAGTTTTTGTGCAAATTATAGATAGAATTCAAGCCCTCGATATTTCACATTTTTATATTTGTAAGTTATTAGAAGCAGGGATGCCAACTTGGCTTAAACCGTGCCATTTGTCCCTATTTTACTTCAAATGGCACTTAATTTTTCAAATGCCAGTTTTGTAAAAAAATTACATTTCAATACATTTTTGTGAAATACTTTTCGTACACTTCGTTTTCTCAACTAAAATTTTCTAATTTATAAAGGTTATTCAACTGGTTTATCTTATTTTATCATTGAACTTTTGTTAGGAAAATGTAGCTTTATTTTACTGCTAAATGTGAATGATTAAAAGGAATGAATTTTTTGGCACTTTTATTTTTCTATTTTTCACATTTTGGCACTTTTTTATCCTCAATATGGCACCTCATAACTAAGGATAGTTGGCAGCCCTGATTGGAAGATTTCTGCTGTGTTTTGGCCACAACTTGTCTGATGTAAAGAAGCATATAATTTGTGTTTCAAAAGTGTGTGAAAACCAATCAATTAACTTACGTGATCTCGAATCCGATATTAAATAATCAATAATTGTTTATACCCGCATTTTGGCACATTGGCTCGTTGAATGTGCCATCTTATAAATAGTGCCGTCATTCTCCTTAGCTGCTTTTAAATGATGTCGTCACAAATTGCTGGCGGAGATATGAATACAGTCTAAGAAAATTCTTTTTCTATAATTGTTTCCTTATAGAAAGGTTGGTTTCTTTTCCACCTTAGACATTCCGAATTCGTTCAAAATATGCAAATTTAAAACACAGAATTCTTTCAGTGTTCCTCCGGGGTTTTTGGACATGGACTGTTTCATCAATTTAATAGTGTTCGCTTTATTTTTGTGGAAAAGAAACATGTTTTGCAAGTTATGGATCATTTCTACACTCTTTCTTCAAATATTTCTCGTATTCCAGCTGTGTGCAGGTATTTAGTTTTTCGCATCGTGTTTTTACATATTCGTAATTTAAATTTTTTTTAATAAAATCAATTGGTGGTAGTTCATGACTGTGTGTGGATTAATATCACAACACTGAGGACTTGGCAATAACCTTTTTCATCTATTTAAAAACAACACTTACGGGGCAATTTTATTGTAAAAACACATTTTTTTCTATGAATCGACATACTTTAAGCATTGTTGACGCTATTTCCATTTGAATGAGGAAATAGCGTCAATGACTTTATTTCCAAATTTTTGTTGACTTTATTTCGCTTTTGAAAAGGTAATAATGTCAATTGACTTTATTTCGCACCAGGGTGGGAAATAAAGTCAATTGACCATTTCCATTGACCTTATTACCTGTCACCGCCGTTGGATAAAGGGTAAGACGAGGAGTGGGTTGAACCAGTGGCGTAGCCAGGGGGGGGGGAATATGGGGGGATAGATCCCCCCTTTTTCAGAAACAGTGCTAATGGTGTTTTAAATAGTGTTTCCAGTGGAATGGGAGCCAAAATCCAAAATTAAAAAAAAATGACATTTTGAACGGTATTTCGAGGGTTAAGTTATTGTTGTTGTAACTTCTCTATAGTTTTCCTATATTATATGATCATTTATCTTCACGATAAAAAAATTTTCATTCCATTATCTCTTTTCTAAGCGAAGATCTACGATTTTGAAAAAAACTCGTGTTTTCCCTATAGTGCGACGCCTCTAGCCATTGTGTATCACAACTATAAGTTATCGATGCAAATTTTTTTTAATCCAAATTGTCCATTAGTTTAGTATAGCAAGGGTTTAAAGAGATAGGTCTGTAGGATTGGATGCACGTTTTGTCTGAGTTTGGCTTGAGTATTGGTAGTATCCCAGCAAACATTTGGAGTCATAAATGAGTCTTTAAGGAGTCCTATTTCGGAGCAATTACGCTCATAATGAGCTCATTTAAGAGTCCGATATGAGTGTGTTTCCCTTCCTACGAATGTCGACTTATATGAGCTTAAATTCATACATCAAATGAGCCTCAATATGAGTCATATTGGACTCTTATTGGCCTCATATACGGCTCATTTTGGACTCTTTTAAAACAAGTTTTGGCCTCATATATGACTCTTTTTGAGACCCTTATCGGCCTCATAAATTGCTACATTCAGACTCTTATTTTAGGTTGCTCTTTGAGTCTTATTCAACTCACTATATTTGCAAAGGCATTCCGCAAAAAGTCCTTGCAAATAACATACATACATACTTACATGCATATACACAATCCAACATGCATTCAATAGCAGCAGCTGAAGCTAAATTTTGTTCATTTTTTGTTTTCTAATTATTTTCAATTTCTGTATAAACAAGTTTAGATATAAATTTCAAATCTATATTGTTTTTATATTGGCACAAGGTGCTGGCTCATAACTTGGCTCATATATGAATCCTAAAAGATTCATATAAAAGTAAAAAATTTTTTGTTTTTGAAACTCATATTTCTTACCTACCTAGGACACCTTTCGCACTCATATATTCTGAACGCTCAGAATATGTTTGCGGGGATGATGCTGTTTTTGTAAGATTGGGGGATGTAATTGTTAAGAATGTTATTTAAGTGTTGAATAATACGGTATTTTAAGGTAATGGGAGTATTTTTT